CAGGGCATCCGCATTCTGAACTATATAGACGATTGCTTGATTCTAGCTCAATCGGAACAACAGGCGGTTCGGCACCGTGATGTCGTTCTTGCTCATATCAAGTGACTGGGGCTGAGGCTCAACGCCAAAAAGAGTGTTCTTTCTCCATTACAGAGAACCACTTTTCTAGGTGTAGTGTGGGATTCAACGACGATGCAGGCACGATTGTCACCTCCTCGTATTGCTTTGATTCTCGCCGCAGTAGATCAGGTCAAGCTAGGCCAGTCATCCACTGTAAAACAGTTCCAGAGACTGTTAGGTCTCATGGCAGCTGCGTCCAACGTGATACCTCTTGGCCTCTTGCACATGAGACTGTTACAGTGGTGGCTCAGGACCAAGGGATTCTCCCCGAGGGGAAATCCGCTTCGCATGATCGTGAGTTCGCGACGGTGTCATCACGCCCTGATCATGTGGAAAGATCCTTGGTTTCTGTCCCAAGGCCCTGTGTTAGGAGCTCCTTGCCATCGCGTTATGCTAACAACAGATGCCTCTCTCACGGGTTGGGGGGCGATCATGGATGGTCTCCCGGCTCAGGGTCTGTGGGAGGACCATCATCGTCTGTGGCACTTAAACTGCCTAGAGATGTTGGCGGTGTTTCAGGCTCTGAAACACTTCCTCCCAGACCTAAGGGGCCACCATGTTCTTGTCCGGACAGACAACACATCGGTGGATTCTTATATCAACCATCAGGGGGGTCTGCGTTCTCGCCCGCTTTACAAACTGGCACGTCAGATCCTTCTATGGTCCCAGGGGAAAATTCTTTCTATGAGAACAATTTATCTCCCGGGGTATTTAAATCAGGGGGCAGACATCCTGTCAAGACAGGGGCCGAGGCCCGGGGAATGGAGTCTTCACCCCGAGGTGGTAGAACTCCTATGGAAACATTTCGGTCGTGCCGAGGTAGACCTATTTGCTTCTCGAGAAACATCACACTGCCCGCTGTGGTTCTCTCTCAACCATCCATCCCCGCTGGGGTTGGATGCGATGGTACATCCGTGGCCGAGGTCACGCCTGTACGCTTTTCCCCCGATCGCTCTGCTCCCAGGAGTTCTGGAGAGGGTTCGCCGGGACGGGCTCAGTCTCCTGCTAATAGCCCCGTTCTGGCCGGCCCGGGTATGGTTTGCGGACCTAGTGTCTCTCCTCGACGGCTCTCCCCTAGAGATACCGATCAGGAGAGATCTGCTCTCTCAGGCGAGTGGGTCGATCCTTCACCCCCGTCCAGAGCTATGGAGGCTGTGGGCTTGGCCTCTGAGGGGGCCCAGCTCATAGATTCTGGTCTCTCGGCTGAGGTCGTTGAGACCATCCTCCGATCCAGAGCTCCCTCCACGAGGAAGTTATATGCCGCGAGGTGGAAACTTTTCACCTCTTGGTGTGGAGAGCGCCAGCAGGACCCAGTTAACTGCCCGGTTGGTACAGTGCTGGTTTTCCTGCAGGACCGTCTCTCCACAGGGTTATCCCACTCCACACTGAAGGTGTATGTGGCGGCCTTAGCTGCTTACCACACCCCTTCAAGTGGAGGTTCCCTCGGGAAACACCCACTTTTGTCTCGCTTCCTTCGTGGCACCTTGAGGCTGAGGCCTGCAGTTCGCACGAGGGTACCAGTTTGGGATCTGGCCATCATCTTAGAAGGTCTCTCCCTTGCTCCTTTCGAGCCCATTGACGAAGTTTCGGAAAAGTTTCTTACTCTAAAGACTATCCTTCTTCTCGCTATATCATCTCTAAAAAGAATTGGAGATATTCAAGCACTTTCGGTGGCTCCCTCGTGCCTGGAATTTGCTCCTGGTATGGTTAAGGCCTTTCTTTTTCCGAGACCAGGTTATGTTCCTAAGGTTCCAACTGTTTCTGTTAGACCTATAGTTCTGCAGGTTTTCTGTCCTCCGCCTTTTCTGACGTCAGACCAGGAGAAACTTAATTTGCTGTGCCCAGTTTGGGTTTTAGATGCTTACGTCCACAGAGCTGCCCTGTGGAGGAGATCGGAACAACTGTTCGTCTGTTTGGGTCACCTAAGAAAGGGTGTCCTGCATCTAGGCAAAGGATGAGCAAGTGGATGGTCGAGGCCATCTCGCTTGCTTACGGTTCGGCCCATCAGCCTTCACCTTTGGCTGTAAGGGCTCATTCCACCAGGAGTATGGCTGCCTCTACAGCTCTTCTTTCAGGAGCTTCTCTTCAGGACGTTTGTGATGCGGCAGGCTGGTCCTCACCGCACACTTTCGTCAGATTTTATTCCCTTGACCTTAGCTCCACTCCAGGGGCTCAGGCTCTCTCGTCGGTTTGTGTCTCCTGATGACACACGACGGGGATTTGGTCGTATGGGGATGTGGGTATTGCGTTCCCACTGCGATTACACGCAGCGGTAGTCCCTGAAGGGGAACGTCCCGGGTTACGTATGTAACCCTAGTTCCCCGAAGGGACGGACGCTGCGTGTCCTGCCATACTCTCGGCATCCCCTTGGGTCGCTGCTTCAGTAACTTTTAAGCTGGCGTATTGTGTGCTCAGGGGATATTTATAGCTTCATGGTCGATGACGTCACTCGCCGTACACTCATTCTCTCCATTGACTGATTTCATTCATGCTTCAGACGCGTCACGCTGAGGGCGTTCCCACTGCGATTACACGCAGCGTCCGTCCCTTCGGGGAACTAGGGTTACATACGTAACCCGGGACGTTCCCTATGGTTCCCACAGGCCAATTAATGTCACGTGACCTCCCCGAGACGCCATCTTTGAGGGCATAAGCTGCTCTGTTTACAAAGTTTTACAAGCAAATTTTGAATATTTCTTTCTGTTTATAATCTTACGAAAATCATGAAGAGACAAAGTGACAGAGATTATAAAGAGACTCTATTAACACAAGACAGAGAGAGGTACTAGGCGAAAATTTCAGTCATAAATAGTGTGGATCCGTATAACGAAGGAAGCACTGATTATGCAGCTTTGCCTCACAGTATTATCATGTGTAACGTTACGTTACCATTATCTGGTATTTTTTACACATGTGAGCAATTCCGAGCCTGGAAATCACTGGAGGCGTACAATCAGTTTGTCGAGGGTTGGGTTGGTGACGTTTGCTCAAGTGCAATCAATGGAAAAGTAGTCATCATAGCGAATGTATGTAGCATGATGCTAGACTATCTGTCTATTAAAAAGCCATAGCCTGCACAACTTAATCCCTGTTCCCCTTAAAACAGTCATCGGTGCTTTCTGTAATATGCATGTACTTATTTGTACAGTGTAGAATAGGGTTGGAACGGTACATGTATTCGTATTGAACCGAAACTGTACCGGCGTCACGGTTCAGTGCATGAATATACACGGTATAAAAATAAATACATTTTATTATTTTATTTTTATTTATTTTTTGTGGGAGGGGGGAATGTTATTAGTCTTTTTATTATAGGCCTAAGGTTTAAAATGGATTTAAGGGAATAAAGAAAAATAAATGAGAACGTAGTTTTTAAGTAATCAATTTCAATTATTTACAAATAATATTTTATTTTAAAATATGAATACATTTACTCTTATTCGTATGTCTAATATGTAAATATGTAATATTGTCTCTTCACATTCAGTTATTAGTTACGCACTAAATTTGCTGACCAGACCAGAGCCAGTTGTGATTTTGTGCTATTAATAAAAAACAATATTAGAAGAATTAATATTTTCTTCCACATTGCTCAATTAAGTCTATGAGAGTGTTGTAACTGTTTTTCAATGGCTCTGGGCTAGGCAAGCACAACAACAAATAACACGCGTAACAAAAAACACACATGAATATTTTATCTTGTAAGTTATTTTACCAGTACTGCCAAAATGGCAAACAACACTAAATAATAATAATAATAATAATAATTCATTACATTTATATAGCGCTTTTCTAGGCACTCAAAGCGCTTCACATGGAAGGGGGAATCTCCTCAACCACCACCAATGTGCAGCATCCACTTGGATGATGCGACGGCAGCCATAGTGCGCCAGAACGCTCACCACACACCAGCTTACTGGTGGAGAGGAGACAGAGTGATGAAGCCAATCAGTGTATATATATATATATATGGGGATGATTCGGAGGCCATGATGGACAGAGGCCACTGGGCAAATTTGGCCAGGATGCCGGGGTTACACCCCTACTCTTTCGAAAGACATCCTGGGATTTTTAATGACCACAGAGAGTCAGGACCTCGGTTTAACGTCTCATCCGAAGGACGGTGCTCTTTGACAGTATAGTATCCCCGTCACTATACTGGGGCGTTAGGACCCACACAGACCACAGGGTGAGCGCCCCCTGCTGGCCTCACTAACACCTCTTCCAGCAGCAACCTGGTTTTCTCAGAAGGTCTCCCATCCAGGTACTAACCAGGCTCAGCCCTGCTTAGCTTCAGTGGGCAACCAGTCTTGGGCTACAGGGTGATATGGCAGCTGGCTGAATATATTTTTTTAATGGGTTAACTTTTTTTACAATGTGCTGCAATTGTTTCTATTATAATAGGTGAGCATTGAATTTTATTAAAAATATATACTAAGCATTCAGAATCTTTCTGCATTTTTCCATTCTTTTTTGATGACAGTGATGGTTGCCACAGCTTTAGCAGTGTCATTTTGGCAAAGACCCTGGTTACCATGGTACATTTTTGTAGTGGTGTTCATTTTAGTCATGGCGTGGTTTTGGTTAGTAGAACATAATGGAAGTTGTTTCAGGTAAACCAAACGGAATTGCTCCTTTCATCTCACAGAGCCCTCACTTTAATAGAGCTTGAGTAAACATGACAGGAGCCTGAGAACCTGGTTCCTGTAAATAACCCCAGACACCCTTCTCATGGAGATGAGCTGTGAAAGTTGCATTTACCCACTCTGTCAGTGTTCATCTGAATAAATTACACAGCTCAGTAAAGTTCAAGGGCAATATATTAAAATGTTAGCTCTCAGTAATATCCTCTCTCCTGACACCACACACGTTTGTTTCCTTTGGGCTAGAGGAAGACCCGAGGATGAAGACTGTGATTGTGGTGCATGGTGGCGCGTGGGCCATCCCGGATGAGTTAGCCGAAGCATCCGTGGCTGGAGTCAAGAATGCTGTGCGGGCAGGAGATACTGTTCTGAAGAATGGGGGGAGTGCTCTTGATGCTGTAGAAAAAGCTGTGAGGTCTTTGGAAGATGACCCAACGTTTGATGCAGGTACACATATACACACACACTGCCCGGCCCAAAAAAAAATCACTGTTTTGATTTAAAGTTTATGACTGGATCATTATTGCAGTGATTATTATGTTTCTAGCATGATGTGTGGCAACAGTCCTTCTGCCCCTACGGATGGAGTGTGTAGCTTTTCATTTCTTAAACAACCATGTAGGAAGACCATAGACTGTGAGGAAGACGCATCATGGCCATATTCCAGGATGACAATATCAAGATTCATCAGGCTCAAATTGTGAAAGAATGGTTGGAAGGGAGCATGAAGAAAAATGTTCACACGTGAATTGGCACCTCTGGGTCCAGACCTTAAATTCATTGAAAGTCTTTGGGATGTGCTGGAGTAGACTTTACAGAATGCTTGACTCTTGCGTTGTCAATACAAATTCTTGACCAAAAATGCACCTCCTGATGGAAATAACATCACAACATTTATTTCCATCAAGAGGTCCATACATTTTTGGTCACACACACAAACATTTGTAATACTAAGTTTTTCTTTTAATGTTGTTGAAAGAACTCTCTTCTGCTCACCACCAAGGCTGCATTTATTGGATAAAAAATACAGTAAAACAGTAATATTGTGAAATATTATTACAATTTAAAATGTGTTTTCTATTTTATTCAAATGTAATTTATTCCTGTGATGGCAAAGCTGAATTTTCAGCATCATTAATCAAGTCTCAGTGTCACATGATCCTTCAGAAATCATTCTATATGCTGATTTGGTGATATTCATATGTGTGGGATAAGTAAGATTTTAAAAAGATAGTCAAAATAAATAAATAAGAAATTAATACTTTTATACAGCAAGGATGCATTCAATTGATAAAAAGTGACATTAAAGGAGCACTTCACCCATTTCAACATTAATCTTTATTGAAAGTGGGTCATATATGTAGTCGAAATGTAAAAGAAATTTTGAATTTGGTGCCCTCTTGACCGAGAAAAGACAGAAAATAACTTTTGGGCGCATTTGTATGTAAGACAACAACTCCCACAATGCACCACATTGCACAGCTCCGCAAGCCACTCCCACTAATCCAGAACAGCGCAAAGTCGCAAACATCAGAGAAATCACTCTTCAGTCTACAAGGCTAACGTTAGCTGCCACCAGAGTTAGAAATTCATTTCACACAAAATGTATAGCTAGTTAGTTGGCTGTGGCGAGCAGGACGAGGGCGAGCCGAGGCACGTGAGAGGACTGCGCGAGGCCGGTGGCGTGAGTGATAATGAACGACACCTGTGAGACGCACCGGTCTCTCTCGCGTCTCTCACCGAGGAGCGGACGCATAAAACGAGGAGCGACAGGGCAGATCGAGTGAGGAACAGGCCTGATTTTATGGTGTGTTTTGTTTCTGTTGTGTGTGGCCAACAGTGAGGGGCTGCTGGCTTATACTTTTGTTTTGTATTTGTTTATTTTACTATTAAAATGTTTAAATGTTTGCCGGTTCCCGCCTCATTCTTCCCACAACAACGAACCCCGTTACATTGGCAAACTCATTAGCGAATTACTCCTCGTTTGTATTTCTTTCTATATGGTGAATTATTGCATGATACCTGGTTCAGTCAGAACATGCGGTGCGACACGAGGATGGTTCACATCACAACACAAACGTCCGTGTGCTCGTCTGATTCAGAGATTTCGTCCAGGAGAAATTGCCATCGTTGAAATTCTCTGCAGCAGACGGACTCTATCTGTGTCCGTAGCGCACAGCGAGAGCACAGGCACCAGCAGTCCGCCCAGCTCGAGCCAGCCCGGGCTCCTCGTCCGCCTCCTGTTCCTCCATCAGCCTCAGCTGCTCTTCACTATATTGTGGCTTGTATAAATAGTCACGAACATCAGTTTCGAGCAAAAGATTTTCAAAATCCTCGTCTTCCATATCGTGTGTCGTAAATTCAGGCATTATGGTAAATCTAACTCCTTGAGCGCTTGTTAGCTTAGCTTGCTGTCTTCCCAGCAAGATGGCGGATTAATAGTTTAGTTTCTTCAGGTTTAGTCCCACCCACTGATCTGTAATAGGCCGGTGGGGTGAGTGGGTCCCACGCCCTTGAATAATAATGAGCTAAAGGCTGTAGTTTTCTTAATATGCAATGAAATTTATCTTCCGTCCTATCGTGACGCAAAATGACGATATTTACGTCACGATAGGACGGAAGTAAAACACTTAAATCCTTTTTTCTCCCATCTCAGAAAAAAAACAAGTAAAATTCCACCATCATTATAATATATGACTGGGTTTCTAACAATACAAACCTTAATGCAAATGGGTGAAGTGACCCTTTAAAGACATTTGTAATGTTACAAAAGATTTCTATTTCATATAAAAGCTGTTTTTCATTTTCAATTCATCAACAAAAAATCAAATCAGCATATTAGAATGATTTCTTAAGGATCATGTGACACTGAAGACTGGAGGAATGATGCTGAAAATTCAGCTTTGATACCACAGGAGTAAATTACAGATAGGACACAGTTTGAAATCAAAATCAAAATATTTCACAATATTATTTACTGTATTTGTAATCAAATAAATGCAGTATTTGTGAACATAAGAGACTTCTTTCAAAAACATTATTCCAAACATTTGACTGGTAGTGTTTTTGATTAATTTTTTACCTTGATTGACTTTTTCTATTCAAGACTTCAAGCAGAGGAAGTACAGATTCAGTAGTTTCGTGAGAGACTTCATCTAGGCTCTGAATGGGACAGTATTTCAGCACATACCCTTGACACTTTGTTAATGATCATCTCGAGAGTAAGGTGAGAGGTTCTCCAATAATGATCAGATTACAAGGAGGAAAGCGGGGTAAAACAAGACACTTCATTAACACACCCGGCCTGTCGGTGCCAATCTCATTTGTGATGGCTAACTGTCACCATGAGTGAAATGGCTAATCCTCTTCATATCAGAGCTGCACATTCAGCGGCTCATCAGGATCATTTTATACACTGGGGTAGCCAGAGGCACAGTCTGATCAATAGATGACTAATGCAATCCTGTTTAGAGAACTGAGAGCTAGACATAAGAGTGGATACCAGTCTGGAGTATGTCAGGGTGCCATGACAGAGATAACAATAAGATATGTGTGTGAGAATGAGATCATGTTGTATTAAACAGAGGTATCCAATCTTGCTCTTGGAGGGCCACTGTCCTGCAGAGTTCAGCTCCAACCCCAATGAAACACACATACAACAGGTAATAAAGCTCTTCCTGGGCATACTAGAAACTTCTAGGAAGTTGTGTTGAGGCAAGTTGGAGCTAAACTCTGCAGGACAGTGGAAAAAAAACATTCACAAAGTCAAAAGGTTATTTTTTATAAAGATCATACTTAAAGGTGCCCTAGAATGTTTTTTTTTATTATTTTATAATGTTTCCTGGGTTACCCTTATAATGTTAGTATGTTTTTTAGATAAAAAATAATCATAATTTAGAAATAAATGGCATTTTTCCTGCTTTTAGCCTCTGATTTGAACACTCTGTTTGAAGGGGCGTGTCTGCTGTGGGATTCAGTGTAACCGCGGCCACTGCTGTGATTGGCTGACATGCTTGCATATGAAATAGCTACGCATTACATGTGAAACTCTCTCCCGAATACTTTTACTACTGCTATTATACGTTTTTACTATAACAGCTATCGAGATTAACGAATCGTGAGATGTTTTTAAAGTATTTAGATCTATTCCAATCACATAAAATGTTGCCGTGATGAGCATTGAGCAGATGACTGTGTGTTGATCGCGAGAATGAAGATCTAATCATTGCAAAGCAGTTTCTGCACTCTCTCTGCTTTCACCAATGCAAACACGATGATGTAAATACAGTAAGAGCTTCGTTGTGCAGTAACGTGCGTCATTGATTTCATAACGAGTTTGGCAAGTGTCCAGATAAACTCGCGCTGTGTGGAAAGATTGTTCTTTGATCGCTTTCTGTATATAATTTGTTCACAAATTAAATACGATTATTTTCATCCTACTAAAAGAAACGATGTGAAGCTGATATTTTAGTCACTGGCTTGACTTACTGATGCATAAACAGTATTGAACGATTTTGAGAGAAAGATTACCTGTCTGAACTTGAACAATTACTCATCAGAAAGTGTTGCTTGGTAGCTCGATCCGAGGCCAGCTCTGAGGAAACACTCGGTGAAATGTTTGGAAATTTCCAGAGAAAATAAAATTAACCCATTGTTTCTTCAGAGGCCCAGATGAAGGAACTAAAAAATACTTTTGTGTTCATGTGTACATCCACACTGAGCAACAGCCATGCTTCGGCTGCGCAGTTATTCCACCTGGCATTGAGGGCTGGCATTATGCAAATATTTGGAGGCGTACATATTAATGATCCCGACTATTGCGTCACAGTCGGTATTGTGTGGAGAACCGACCGTTTTTCAGGGGTGTTTTTCATAAACGTGAATTAAATGAGAACGCGAAAACAGTCCAGTTTGAAATTCACTCTATGTCATGTCCATGCACTGAACTCTTGTTATTTGACTATACCAAGGTAAATTCAATTTTGAACTATAGGTCACCTTTAATATTTTCTTTAGACAAATATCAATTTTTTTAGACCAAAAATGTTATTTAATGTAGGTCAATATAATATTTTCCTTGGCTTTTAAAAAAATATTTTCTCCATAAACAAATGCTAAATCACCTTAAAGGGGAGATATCATGAAAATCTGACTTTTTAAGTGCTATAATTGGGTCCCCTGTGCATCTACCAACCCAGAAAACGTGAAAAGTGACAACCCACTGAACCCAGTGACTTTGTTTTGGTAAGCCTTTCTCTGCAAGCATGTCAAAAAATAAGCCGATCAGATTTCGCTCCCCTTCTGACGTAGGAAGATAGTCTATCTATCTATCTATCTATCTATCTATCTATCTATCTATCTATCTATCTATCTATCTATCTATCTATCTATCTATCTATCTATCTTTCTTTACGGGAAATGTGGTCTTTTCAGACATGTGGACTTCATAATGGGACTGTAAAATGTTTCATTTGCAGGTCATGGTGCAGTGCTGAATATTGATGGAGAGGTGGAGCTGGACAGTATCATCATGGATGGGGAAACACTTGCCGCTGGAGCTGTGGCCTGTGTTAGAAACATTGCTAATCCTGTTAGTCTTGCTCGTGCTGTGATGGAAAAGGTATGTTTTCTTCTCAAAATGCTTCGCTTCACAATTTGTCATCAACTATTACAGCAAATTTGAGTACAGTGTTCTCTCTGGTGAATATCTCTCCTCCAACCCATTTAATTCAAGCCATTTTTCTGTATACAAAAGTGAATATTTTACTGATGTGTTATGTGCACTAAAAAGAGTAGGGGATATGATACAAAAACTGAATTCCACACACAATTTACATACATTCAATACTTTTCTATAAACGGCACTGCAATACATAAATTCAAATTCAACAACCATTTCTCAATCATAAAGGCTTGTTTCATTTCATTTTTTCCGTCATAAAGACTCGTCCAACTCACTAATTTTCCAGTGTAAGAGAATATCACATAGTTGCTATAAAATATGTCCGGTATACGTCTAAAATTGGTATTCAAAATTGTTAATGTTAAGGAAATGAATCTGAGAGCTAGTTTTTAATGCCTGCCCTTATCAAGGAGGTCTATATGTGGATCACTTTGAAGACTATTGTAAAACCCAGAATTGGGCGATTTGAATTGGTCCCATTTTTTTATATTCTTGTAAAAGGATTTAAATGACCAAAAAAAAAATTAGCCATTGTGTTGACTTCAAAGGTGAAATTATATGACACCGTAAATTCAGGATTTTCCAATGACTGCAAAGCTTTAATTTGTCATTTCATCAGCAGCTTTGTAATGACAGGTTCAAAGGGAAATGCATGCTAGCTGATTTTCAGATTGATTTCAATCAGTGCTCTTTGTAATGACATAGTAGTCTTATACAATGATTTATCACATGTCTAAAAGACAAAAGCCTAGCCAGTATTTTCTACTTATTTCTCAGGTTTAGAAGGTAGGTTTATTTTTAAAAATGAATGTAGGCACAAACCTTAAAATCTTAGCTACAAACATATATATCCTATATTAAACATTAAATAACTATTATTGCCCAAATAAGGTATAGGTTATTGAACATTAACCTACTATATATGGGGCAAGTTATCACATTGAAATCGACATCCAACAATCCATTCAATTTCTGATGGACAAAATCAGGTCCCGGCTGCATTTTTTCTTGTTCGAGAAGCTGTTTTACATCTATCGAAATAGACGATCACAACTTCCGCCCAATGCCGAATTTAGTCCTGACCACATCAATAGGCATACTTTACCGGCCAAAAGTTGACTACAACCTTAATACAGATATGAGCAAGATACCTTTATTCACTATGTTTTAAGATCAGCTTAAGAGAGAAAGCAAACTACAGTAAAACATAAATGGCGATTAGCAACGTTAGCCATTTTAGACTTCCACCAGATTTAGCTGAATTAAGGACTGTTCACATTTATAACTATAAAGATAATGGTATATAATGATGATAACTATATTAGCATGCACACCAACAGATGATAATGTTCAGTTTATTATAAGCGCACACTGATTGGATTCTGATTGGCTGTTAATATTTGTATCCTTCATCAACTAGGAAAAAAAAACGATTCCAACAATATTGTTCCACTGTGTGGAAATTGCTATAGCTGTGGTGTGGACTTCTTTATTCGCATACAATTAGAACATTTATTAAAACTTTATAGTAAAAAATGATTGTTAGTTATAATTCTTGGTGTTAAAGTAGGCATTAAATGAAAGTTGTGATTGTCTTACCTACTGTAACGTATATCCGAGTAAGACTAGTGATGTTAGGTCTGACACCGACGCTCCGAAGCTCGCTTCAAACTCGATCGGTCCTTGCAATGAACCACTAGGCTTGTTTGAGATGAGCAAAATCTGCGCAGAACCGATCACCGGTGATCAGCGCGAGATGCATGCCGGTTAGAAATGTGTCCGAGTGCGGTCCGCCTTGCTCTGATGTCATGCCGACGTATGTCAAAAAACTCTCGCGACTGCAAGGCGCACGTGTCGGATTCTGCAGTCGCGCGCAGTTGCTCTCCACCGACTGCGCTGATCAAAAGCATGATGGGAAACGACTTGCTGACGGCACAGCTTAATGCTCATTGGTTTAAACAACCGTGATGTATTGTTCTCTTTTAAAATGTTTGATTTTAAAACTCTGACATCATGTTTTATGTGTATAAATTATGTGTGGATATTCCAGAACTCTCTGACAGTGCGATCTATGTGATGTAGCCTAATTTTATTTTTTTAATAAAAACACATGTCTGTATTAAAGAAAAAAATATTGATAAACACGTAGGCCTATTTAAAATGGAATTAAATAAGTACTTTGGGTGTCTTGTTCATTATATTTTCATATAAAAGCAACAAAACTTAAATTACATCCACTTTATTAGCAACACCATGCACGAGCGTGAATCCCGTGAATCCCGCGATATCCACCTTTGATCTCACAGGTGTCTGATCCACTGCGAGAAGCGAGATCTGTCCGGCTTGCCAGCGCTTTTTTCACTCCTCCCCTCACTGCAGCCGCCTACTCTCGCATACATTTCAGGCGAGGCAAGGCGCATCTCAAACAAGCCTACTGCTTCGGAGCTTGTATCATTACGTCACTAGTCACGTGAAAATGACGTCTGAAGCAAACACACTGCTTCACTCCTGTAGTGAACCACCTGACTGCTTTGACAGCCCGATCCAGTGTTGACAGATTTGAAACCTGGCGGCTGTATTTCTTATAAAAGTGAAGCCAAACCATGGCAACACCGTGGGTTGTAGTAGTCAGTGTTTGAATTGGCGTTATTGTTGTTGAGAGTGGATTTTATTTTTTATTATTAATTAGAGAACATATGAACATTGTTACATAAAAACATGCATCAAAGACAGAAACTTCAAAAACCCTCTGCTACATTATACAAGTACAACCAGTTACACAAGCACCTCCTTTTCAACATACAAAAATATCAGTCCCACCAGTTAAGTTATAGAGTTCTGCTTCCTACAGCTAAACAAGATAAAGCTTTCACACATGATGCTGCCCTGCTAAAAAAAACTATAGAAAACATTACAGAAATTCTATTGGATTTAATGGTTTACATTATGGAATTTTATTGGTTTTCATAGGAATTTTATTGGTTGTAATGGGAATTATAGTGGTCTCTGTGGGTCTCTACTGATATGTGTTGGGTTATATTGGTAGGGGCATTAAATCCTAATGGAATTTGTCCCAAACACACTACAAAAAAAAGAAATTATTTTATTTTTTTTATATTTATTTTTATTATATTTTATTCTATTATCATTTTAATAGAAACCATTAGAATTTCTGTGATGGTTTCCAACTTTTTTTAAGCTGGTCTGATCTTCTGTCTTTGTCTAAAGAAATAATTACACACACACATTATGCTTAATGTTTTATTATCAAGGTGAACACATGAAATTCATCAGTATCTGTAAAATTCACCTACATAAATGAGTTTCACAGCACTAACACTGTTTCAGCTTTGATCGCCTCGGTAAACACGTAATAAACGGGGCGTTAAAGTAACAACAGGTAACTTTTCAACCTTCATAATATATTTCCAAGTCTCTTGTGATGGTACATCGACTTACAATAGGTTGAATGACACGTCTGCCATAGCCTGACGGGGTCTGTAGCGTTTTTAATCGTACTTTTAAACTTCGGGTTTCGGGTAGTAACCGGCGAACAAAGAGAACTACAAAATTCGACTGCTTTACGGCATATACGTCACTTCCACCACCACCCCCACTTCCTTAAAATCGGACTTGCGAGCCAAATGTTATAGTCATGGGCGAAGCAGCACAGAAAAACAAGAAAGCAAAGGTTTTATCGGAGCAAAGCAAAAAGAGAAAGTGATCGCGTTAAAGGCAGAACGAGGATCAACATTGCAGAGCTGCCAACTCACGCATTGGCCGTGAGACACCCGCATTTGATTGGTTTCACACGCTCACACGTACGCCACACCCCCGGTTTCTCACGCTAAATTGTCAACCCGGTCGGTCAAATCCCTGAAAGATGAGTTTATCTATAGATCTACCTGTTGAGCCACTCGTGATCGACAAGTTATACCGCAAATTAGTTCAAATCTCCCGGAATCTAGAGCGAGCGCGCACGCGAGACAGAGACTGTGCTCCAACGCGCGCGGACGGCAGAGAGAGAAAGCGAGCGAGAGACCTTGCGTGTGCAGGGAGCATCGAACGCCCCATCGAAAAAAGAATGCCTCTCTCTAACCTTTCTAATTCGCTAGAGTAGTAGCGAATTATCAATCTGGTAGCTAGTAAACGATATTCTAGTTTTTGATGGTTAGCTATCGCTAGTATTCTCGTTCTGATTTGAACTTTGCAATCGATGAAATGCAAATAGCAAATGTTTGACCTAAAAAGTGTAGTCTACTCAACATGTACAAAGAAAGGAGGAAGATTATTAATAAAATCATATTTTAGAATACCTAACATGTCTGTGATATTTGTTTATTTGTCTTGCCTCAAGCTATAATGCAAATCGATTTGTAAAATTTGCAGATTCATTTATGGTAGCTTGATATTATAATATTGACGATATATGGTTATTATCAACCACTCAAACATTGCATTGAAGTATCATATAGATCCAGTAAAACGGTAACCAATAGACTAGGCTACTATAATGACGCTGGCTTGTAAACGTGAGCATCGCGATCATTTGTCGTTAGAAAAAAAATAAAAACCCATGAAATTATATTCATATGACATGCTGAAATATATGCCACTGTACCTGGGATGAAGACATTTCACACGCGACGCAAGCAGAACACCTGCATGTGACCTCCTCCTACAGTGTTCAGGGCTATCCTGGTTGTCAACAATTGCACGTGCATGTAGGATGACAGAGTTTACGACAGTAGTAGAGGACAATACTGTTTCCCAACTGTAGGGGGAGCCCGAGAGCAAAAAAACGACCTGTTGTTACTTTAACATATAAGCCTACTGGCATTTTATGGTTGTCAGCTTTGTTGCATTACATTTACTTCACCAGGAGATGGTGCTGCAATTTCTCTCTGAATGAAGCTTCGAGTAATGAACCATTTTCGACACAATTGTATCAGAAAGCAATAATGCTTCGAAACGCTTCATTTGGCCATCACTAAGTAAGACGGCTTTTCCAACGAGAAAAAATGTAGGGCGGACTTGATTTTGTCCATCGGCTTTGATCATTGGATGGTTGTGGTTTGCTAGTGACAGGTTGTCCCGCCCTCACGCCAGTAAACACATCATCAGTAAAAAGATGACTTTGCATGAATTTAAAAAATAATAATGATGTGCACGGATAAATCATTTATAGTTGTCACGATGTGGGTTTGTCTTGTCATGTTTAGTGGTTCCCTGTCTTGTCCATTAGTTATCCCAGGTGTTTCTTGTTAACCACGCCCCCTTGTTATCCTGTCTAGCTCGTTTGTCCCTGATTATTTAAGCCCTGTGTTTCTGCCCTGTCTTTGTGAGTTGTTGAATGTATGTTCTGTTCCAGGATTAACGTGAGTGTTGGTCGTTCCTGTGTAAAGATTCCTGTTCCAAGTTCTGAGTCTCTGTTTAAGTTTATAGTTTAAATAAAGCGTGTACACTGCGTTTGGATCCAGCCTCCTGCCTTCACCGCATCACGTTACAGTTCATCACAATAGTAGGCTAAATACTGAAATATAAAAAAAAATGTTTTTAATTATTATTATTTTGTCCATTTTGATTTCATGGTGACTTAAAGGAACACGCCGACTTTTTGGGACTTTAGCTTATTCACCATATCCCCCAGAGTTAGATAAGTCCATACCCTTCTCATCTCCGTGCGTGCCGTAACTCTGTCTGATGCACCCACCGCTAGCCTAGCTTAGCACAAATACTGGAGGTAAACGGCTCCATCTAGCCTACTGCTCCCAATAAGTGACAAAATAACGGCAACATTTTCCTTTTTACATGTTGTGATTTGTATATTCACAGTGTGTACAAATAACAAGGTCACATGAGACACAGCCATCTTCTAACCGTATACATACTGGGAACTATATTCTCAGAAGGCGAAGCACTGCTACTTCTGCGGAGTGATTTGCTCGCAGCAGCCATGATCACCAGTCCACCATATAGGCAAATGTTGGCGTAATTTTGTCACTTATTGGGAGCAGTAGGCTAGATGGAGCCGTTTACCTCCAGTATTTGTGCTAAGCTAGGCTAGCGGTGGGTGCATCAGACAGAGTTACGGCACGCACGGAAATGAGAAGGGTATGCATGGATTTATCTAACTCTGGGAGATACGGTGAATAAGCTAAAGTCCCAAAAAGTCGGCGTGTTCCTTTAAACAGGCCTTCAGACATCCCGACTGGATTATTATTATTATTATTATTATTAGACTTTATTGTCCACCTTGGTGGAAATTTGTCTTCGACTTCTCCAAACATATATGCATCAGTGACACAACAGTTAAAATGACAAAATACACACAGTTTAAAAGTATGACACTACCACCGTCAACATACAACAACAGAAAATGGAAAGCAGCGCAGCCGATTAGAAGTTATATAAAACACAAAGACGCTTTCAGTTTAAATTAAGTTCCTGTATGGCATGGGGAATAAAGGATCTCTTATAAATGTTCCGGCTCGCCCTTGGGACCCTGAATCTACGGCCAGATGGGAGCAACTCAAACTCTGAGTTGAGTGGGTGTAGGGTGTCGATTATCATGTATTCTCTTTGGGTTTTGTTTCCTCTATGTCCAACGCCTTGCAAGGTGAACTCAGTGAAAGGGAAAATCTCTTGGACATAATAATTATTTGATATAGCATATCTCCTAGCAGCTGTCTATAATCTAAAAGATTATGACTGAAGCTATGTGTTTTCTTTGTGTGGATCATGCAAAAGATTATTACTTGCGCCATCAAGTGGAGCAAAAGCTGCTATAAAACTCGCTGTGAACATGCAAAATGTTTAGCAGAAATCCCCCCCAAAAGGTTGATTGGCTTAACAATAACAACAACAACAAAACTATTTATTTGAGAATGAGGCTGTCACTGAGATCGGTCTGATATCTCGGGTCAGTTATTTCAGAGATATCAGACAGGAGGTAGGATTGTTTTCTGCATACCATTACATAAAGAAATCTCTTACAGCACATTTAACTAACAGCATCAGATTTAAATAATGATCCACACAAAGAAAACACATAGCTTCAGTCATAATCTTTTAGATTATAGACAGCTGCTAGGAGATATGCTATATCAAATAATTATTATGTCCAAGAGATTTTCCCTTTCACTGAGTTCACCTTGCAAGGCGTTGGACATGGAGGAAACAAAACCCAAAGAGAATACATGATAATCGATTAGCCGCAGCACCTGTCTTGACTGCCCCAAAAGACCTTGGCCTTACAGTGGATTGGCACAGATCTCCTTAATAGCCAGTATTAAAAATTCATCAGGTCTTGATCAATGCTGCGATCAAGCTTCACTGACCTCATGCTCTTGCTTTGCAATCTAAAATGCACAGTATTTGACAAAGAAAAATTACATTAATAACGTGTTAATATTTAAAAGTTTCCTAAGTCAGAGTTATGGTTTAATCCATTGTGATGTTTTTCAGAAAGTTACACAGAGAAATAAATTTGTATTATTAGAGACAGCAGGGTATTGTCTCAATATATTATAGCAGTTCCTCATGGAGATGTGCATAGTAAATATGGAAATAATGCAAAAGTGTACAGGTTGTAGTGTAGTCATCATCATATTTTACCATTGGTGCTTATGTGGGAGATTAACACATGATGGCACACCCAAGGAAATCAGAATACAACAGAAAGACTAGAACTGATTTAGTCAGCACAAAGACCTAACCATATCAAAACATGTCACACAATGTCAAACAAGGCTAAACTCAATTTGTATCATGTGCATTAAGGCACTGCTGGACACTTGCTATAGAGATGTTTTGTAGGTCAACCCTAAGGGTAATTTGTCTTGGGTTTCCTCTGGAATACTGATTTTTATACTCAATTATGCCTTCTAAACATGATTTATGAGTAAAATAAGGTGCGTAGTTACATTATATGATGACAAGACTTTGACATGACAGTTACATTATATGACACAATGTTACTTCTTATGACGAGAAGCCCTGTTCTACAACATAAGTCATACCTCAAACATGAATTTTTTATAGCGAACCCATTAATTGAAAAAGCTAGTATGTAAGCTGCTTTCTAAGTCATGACTTATTGAATATTCTTTCGAGGTCCAAGCCTCTATTCCAGTGGTTCTCAACTCTGGCCCTCGAGGTCCACTTTCCTGCAGAGTTTATCTCTAACCCTAATCAAACACACATGAACAAGCTAATCAAGGTCTTCAGGATTACTAGATAGCTACAGGCAGATGAGTTCAGTCAAGGTTTGATCTAAACTCTGCAGGAAAGTGTATCTCAAGAACCCCTGCTCTACTGTGTTTCAACTGAGAATACTAACCCATTAGCTGTTTATGAGCAGAAGCTTTTAAAAACTCATGGCTTCCCCGACACCAAGATTTAAACTATTCATAAAAAATGAAACATTGTCTGTCCAACTGAGATTTAAGTAAGGAGATACTTCAGTAATACAGCACACTGTGAGTGCACATTAGCACCAATTGTTGTATGCTTTTGGGATCCAATGCATCGTTTGGACCCGGAAATGGTGACATGTGATGTCAGACTTAACTGGATTGGTTAAAGTAAACATTTAGACTACTAATTATCTTTTTGAAACCTTTTTTGTGCTTTTTATTCAGACAGATCATGTCATGTTGACAGACAGAGGCGCGAGCATGTTTGCAGAGCGCATTGGTACTCCAGTAGCTCATGATTTGGTGACTGAGCCAGAACGTAAAGAGTGGGAACACAGCAAAAGCTATCAAGCCGGAGTCAAAATGCTCTTCAACGCACAATGGTGGGTAATTTCATGTTTCTTGCCAAATTGAGTCGTTTTTCTCCCTCTTAATGCGCCAAAATGTTTTTAATTTCCTGATTTCTTGACACACTTGATTTCAGAGATTTTGATGACCATATAGTTACAGAGTGGTCACATTAGTACAATTTCAGTGAGATTGCACAGGCAATAAAAGGTCTGTCTGTTTTCCATGGTCAGTAATGTATCGATGAATGAAGCACTGCTCACACAGTCACTTTCAAACCAAAGCAGCTTTCTGTTGGTAATATTTAAATCTATAACATTCTACATAGATAACATTTAAACCTATAACATTTTTATCTCACAATTTTGACTTTTTTTCCGCACAATTGCAAGTTTATATCTCCCAATTCAGACTTTATAACTCACAATTGAGAGTTTCTATCACAAATATGAGAAAAAGTCAGAATTGCAGGAGAATTTGCTGCCACCATATAACACTTCATCATTGTTTGCAAACACCCAAATGATCTATTGACAACAGCATCTTTGGAAAGAAGTGTTTTGTGTGCTTGGAGAGAAAAATAAAATGACTGTTCCTCTCTTGAAAACACTAAAGTCGGCATGAAACGAAAGTTGCAAAAGTCTTTTCTTTCCTATTTTGAAACTGCTTCTCAAACAAGAAAACGTGTAGCTTGGGACTTGATTTTTGTCTAACAGGAGTTGATTGGATCGTTGAGTGACAGGTTGTCCCACATCATCACAGAAGAGATGAGGTGTTGTTGCAGGAAGGAGGGGAAGTTATTAGGATTACAAGGGCATATTAATTTAAAAAATAATGATATGCATGGATACATAATGTATAATAAATCCTGCAATATTCCATGAAAAAATATAAGAATAGTAGATTTTGGTTTCATGGTGACTTTGAATGATGATTCACGAGTTCGCCTGCACATCCAGTCTTAATAGTTAATGGTAAACGAACTTGACTTGCTGTCCAATTTACCAAATTTTGTGACCATTTTGCATGAATATATTGTGGAATGTATACTGTGATAAATCATTATCTACCCTTTTTATTATTTTATTATACTGATTCTACTGATGTCTTGATATACCGTTCGTAATCGTTTAGTTTTAAAGGGACAGTGGTTCTCCTTGGCATTGAGGCCATGAGTTGATAATGGCAGCATATTCTCATGCTGGCCTGCACAGAGCTCAGGTCATTCGCTGAGACCTTCAGGCAGTGCAGATAGAGCTGTGTGGGCTCCAGCAAAGCAGCCTTACCTGCCACCTCCACTTCCCCAGGCTGAGTGTTGAGTAGTAGTGGAGTCAGGGCCATGGCGGGGTGTAACCTCAGCCCCCGAGGGAGTCTGTAAAAATAGTGCTGTGGAGGTGCTAAGTGACAGTTGGCTGAGCTACTGCCTTTCATCCCACCCCGCTGTGGCTTCATTATTGAAAGCCTCCCTCTGCTCGCCCTGTAACACCATCACTGGGCTTTTTAACACACAGGCCCTAGAATTCAATTACCCTCTACCTTTATTTAGGATTACATGGCACACCTCTGCCCTGCTGGTTTGACCAGGCTTTTATAAAACCACAGATGTGCCAATACTTCCTATTCACGCCATGGTGATCACATGGTGGTCACAAATGTAAAAAAAGGTGTCAATTTCTACACTTAAAGGTAGGGTAGGAGAGGCTACTAATAGCAAGCTAGCTTTGAAAACATAATATCCCGTCCTCCCTTCAGAGCTTTCTCCAAAGCAACACCTCCTTCAAAAAAACATTAACGCATTCTGCAAAGTGTCATGAGAGACGGCGTTAAATTACCTCATGTCTCAAAGCACATAACATTACAATATGTAAACAACTTACAGAGCTTTACCTGACTGCTTCAGATTAATTTTGGACGTTGATGTGATGGCATAGAAAAGCAAAATCTGAGTCTGAGGACAGCTCCGAGTAGAACGTCACGACGGGTTGCCATCTTGTAATTATGGTTATGAAATGGCATGAACGCAGCATAAGCTCGTTGTTTTGGTTTGTTAATTTGGCCCCACCCCAAACTCGCGCTATTGGCTGAGCCAGTGTTGCTGTGCTGGGGTGGTAGTGTTCTCATACAAACAGCCTATCATAATGGAGGAATGCAGGTATGACGTCACTTTGTAGGCCAATCGGCAATAGGATTTTCCCATAGGCTTTTGGATTATCGCTAAAAACAAGCTTTGTGATCAACAAAAGTTTATGATGCTTGCATGTGTTGTCCATCAAGATAATTATCACAATGAACACAACTTTTATGAATTTTGAAGCCTATGCAGTCGCCAGAAGTAAAAAGCTAAAGGTAGGCTATAAATGAACTACACCACGGTCCCACAACTTCAACGTCACCATCACTAAGCTTCTAATAACTCTTTCAGTTTTTATCTAAAACATTTTCCCAGAACTTTTGAGTTAGAGTAGTTTATAAGAGCACAATTATAAGCATAACGATGCTGTAAAAGCGGACTGAGCTTACCTTTTCGGCGTGATGACCTTTTAATCTCCTCTGTAGTCCCATTTAGTGTTAGCAACCACCTTTTTCAAGACGCGTAACAGCTTCAAAAAACCACGAGTGGGGTAATATTGATGTATTTTATGTCGTAGAATGAAACGTGAAAGTGTCTTGAGCTTGTGTTGAGCTTGACCTTATTTCAGCCATTTAACCAAAACCCCATTCAAGTGGAACTGGAAGTGCTAAAATGCTAACTCGCTTCCGTGGTTTGGCCTACAAAGTGATGTCATACCTGCACCACTCTATGCCACAGTGTTTTTTGTTTTGTTTTTCATAATCAACATATAATGGCTTACTGATATCTCTGAATATTAACATGGGATAGATAGGAGATAGAATTTTAATATGGAAAAACTGACAAATTTATGGAAGCCCTATTGTATCCCAAAAAAACAATTTCAACTTGCAAATTTGTTTCTCACAATTTTATGTTTATATTTCCCAATGTGATTTTATGTTTCGCAATATGACTTCTCGAATCTTGAAATTGTTGAAATTGATTTTATAACTCACCATATGACTTTATATCACACTGTGAATATTTTTCAACAGCGTGACTGTCTCACGGTGTGACTTTCTTGTTTTAAACATCTAACAATTACCTTTATTTTTTACACTCAGACAGAAACTAGCTTCAATATACAAATGTATTCCGTCATTTTAGTTTTAGTGATTCGTATGTAGAAAATACATTTGCAACAAAAAGTTAAGACAGCCACTTGTTCTTCATAATGAGAACTCTATTGGAACTTTTGTTCCAATACCTGCACACTTCATTAGGCTGTTTATGGATGTGTGAAGATTTACTGCAAAACACTGTGATCACTTTGAAGTGTGAAATACAGTCCACCGTCAAGCTGCTTTTAAAAGCCATTTTCACCTGAACCGATGAGCAAGATCCAGCCATCGCCGGTGATTTAAAAGAGCAATCAAGCGCCTGCCAAAAATGATTGATGCCTCGAATCTGGAGCCTGACAAGTGATTCTTCGCCATCTGCTTCAGACAAATATTCTCCACGAGCACCATGTTTGCTCTCCCATTTCTGGGGAGAACGACATGGAGGCTGTTTTCTTTCATTTCACCTTGAAGCATTGTCCTCCATGTGACTTCAAACTCATAACACACGCTTGTTTTCCACAGCCCTGCTGCCTTAATCAGAGTTTCATGGGATATGAAGCCTGTGAAATACAAGGGCCTCTGTTCATCCCACTTTCTGCATGCTCTCTATTCTATTTCTTTTAAAGTGATCTAGCAGGGAAGACTGATGTGCACATCATAAGAATTTTGTTTTGTTCCGGGTTTTTTTTTTGAAAAAGAAGAAGAATGCATACTTTCTCATGTGTCTACAGAAATATAACGACTGATATAACACTTTCCCAGCAATCTCTCTGAGTGTACTTTGCTAGACTAGCGCCTGTGATTCAGAGTGCCGAAGGGCACTTATTCTCACTCTCTTCCTTTGTTGACAGGCAGATGATGATGATGAGTCATTTTCAGGTGTGCTGGCACTCTTAAAAGCATGTGAGAGATTGTCATTAGCACGCTCCCTTTCAGACATCTCTCACATCACCAGAACAGAACTACATGCATTTTTTTTCATGACTGAAGTTCACATAGGAAACAATAGTAATTGCACAGAGGCTAAATTTAAAAGGGAGGGAGGCGTATGAATGTAGCGTATTAAGTTGAATTCCGGGACAAAAGTCTTTCTGATGAAGAGGAGCTAATAGAGGCACATCTCTGAGTGTGATGCATAATAATGCTCTCTCTTCAAAGCACCTTTTGAAAATACCATGTCTGAAACCATCAAATTAAAGATCTGAGAAAAGAAAATCTCAGAGCTAATCTTTATTATTGAACTTTTTTTGTGTATAATTGTAGGGGCCATGATACTGTTGGAGCGGTGGCTCTGGATTCTTTCGGTAATGTGGCATGCGCTACATCCACTGGAGGAATCAGAAACAAAATGGTGGGAAGAGTTGGAGATTCTCCTATTATAGGTGAGTCCGATCAGAGATAGAGGACAGAGATAATCTCAGTGTCACACCAACATTCATTTTGAAGCAGTGTCTCGATTGAATGAGCCATTTCGGTTTGAAGGTGTCAGCTCTGATCAATACTCAATTGTCAGAGTGTTTTCTCCTGGTAACACACATTAACGTCCGACTCTCTCTGCGCTGCTGTCTTTTCCTGTGCGATAAGGATCTGGTGGATATGCAGACAATAGAAGTGGCGCGGTCTCCTGTACTGGTCATGGAGAGTCTATTCTCAAAGTCACCTTAGCCAGATTAATCCTCTTTCATATGGAGCAAGGTATGAGACTTTTACACTAATCCTGATGAGTGTGTGAGAGTGCATGCGTGCTCGTTTACTTGTAAGGGCTACAAAAGTGTCCATATTTGCTTAATTAATTTTGTGCCTAATCCATTTTGCAAAAGAGAAAATTCAATATGCACTACCTTTCAAAAGCTTGAGGTCAGTGTGATTTAAAAAAAAAAAAAAATGAGAAGTTTTATTCAGTAAGGATAAATTACGTATAATGAACAGTGACAAGAAGGATATGTATAATAATTATACAAAAAAATTATTTCCAATCAAAGAATCCTGAAAAAATGTTTCACGGTTTCCAAAAACAATAAAAGAAAAGTTCTCAACATTGATAAGAGAATTTTTTTTTGAGCACTTCATCAGCGTTAGGATTATTTCTGAATGATCATGTGACACTGAAGACTGGAGTAATGATGCTGAAAATGTAGCTTTGCCATCACAGGAATAAATTACATTTGTTGACAACAGTTATTTGAAATTGTAATATTACTGTTTTACTGTATTTTTGGTCAAATAAAGGAAGTCTTGGTGTGTATATGAGACTTCTTTCAAAAACATGAACAAATCTTACAGACCTCAAACTTTTGAACAGTAAATCATTTTTTTATATGGGTGCTAACATGTCTTTTTCTACCAATTTTAGGTTAATATTTTATATGAATGTAAAAGGGATTGTGTATATTTTAGGTCTTGTAACTAATCAAGTACAGTGTGTCAGCATTTGTAATCTTCACTTATTGTCTTCACTATTTATACTTTTATTAATCCTATTTACAGTGTAATTATACACCTTATCAAGACAGAAGTCACAGAAGCTGTGTGCAAAACAATTGCAAAATAATCATAGCTATTAAAATCAAAATAGGTGTAGATGGAGTTTGTATTGTCACACTTATGTCAATTATAATATTTAAATACTCCAGTCAGATGCCAGGTTAATCATACATAAAATTACAGAAAAAAATCATTATACAACGATGGCAAAATAATTTAAATATTTTTTACTTATTTTGAATGAAAAATCTTTACCCCAGCTATATGTCATTCCCTTTTTTCTTTTTTTTTCTATAATGCAATTTGTTCATATTGTTTTGTCTTGCAAGGTCTCGATCATCTCTACTCCTTTACCCTCACCCACATGTTGCTATTATTATCAGGTTTTTGTATAACCAAGCAGAATGAATGTCCAAACACACAAAAACTGGATGCTGCTGTTGCCAGTCATTTTAATTGGTGTGTGTGTGTGTGTGTGTGTGTGTGTGAGAGAGAGAGAGAGCGAGACAGGAAGGATTGGATGTGCTGCCACAGTAAGCAGATGATAATGAGGTGTGTGTTTGTCTGTGGAAAGAGTGTGAAGGGGTCAGCAGACTATCGTTCGCTTCGGCATTCTGCGGTAATGATACTGCAAGTACAGCCACTCTGTTTATATATTCATTATTTTATCAATTATTAGGCTTGCCATTAGGGTCTTGACTTGTTGTCCAACATTTCTACAACATTTGAAGAACAAGGAGTGAGGTGAATGAGATCTAAAAATATATATTACATTGTACTAACAGTTATTTCTAGTCCATATATAGTAAAAGTAATGTGCTAAATAATAATGCTAGTAAAAATGATATAATATGTTAATACTGTTGCAGTGTTGTTGGAGTCTTGTTGCTAGACTGATGTTTTCTATGTTAGACTTTTTTTACCGCATAGTTGCAACACTAAGACTGATGGAATGAGCAAACCATGAGAGAAACATATATTGTTCACTGTGTGACCTGGACAGGGTCACCAAGGACACATACACTGTGGGTGCAGTGTTTCATTATACGGCACACAGAGATCAAATGCTCTTGATTTAGTTTTTTTCCTGTTCTGCTGGAAAATACCAGGATAATTAGACCACAATGGAAAATGTTGTATTGAAAAAGTCTCCTTTGCGCACCAATGCTACATTTATTTGATTTTTTTTTTTTGTAATATGAAATATTATTACAATTTAAGACAACATTATTCTGTTTTAATATATTTTATAATATTATTTATTCCTGTAAAAAAATAGTTGGTTTAACTTAAAAAAAAAAAAGTTACCTTGTTGTCTTAAAATTTAGTTAAAACTTCAGTTAATACAATGAAGGAGATTGGTTTAATAAACAGAAACTAAAATATTATGATATCTGAACCACACTTAATTATCTAAGTTGATTTGACAAAAGAAAAAAAGTTGTGATAAATCATGAAAATAATTTTTTTACAGTGATGGCAAAGCTGAATTTCCTGCAGCCATTACTCAAAAATCATTCTAATTGATGCTCAGAAACATTTATTTGTATTATCAATATTGAAAACAGTTAATATTGCTCAATATTTTTGTGGAAATCACAATATATATATATTATTTTAGGATTCTTTGATGAATTTATAGAAAGTTCAAATGAAAAGCATTTATTTGAAATATATTTTTTGTAACCATGTGAAAGTCTGTCTTTTTTGAGCAATTTAATGCGTTCTTGCTGAATACAAGTATTGCTCCTTTTTTTCCCAAAACATATTTTACTTACCCCAAACTTTAGAACGGTAGTGTAAGTGTCAGGGAATATAGTCAAACATTACAAGGATGGAAAATAATACATTGTGTATGATAATAGCAGGTGTTAGATTAATAGATGTTCACAGACTTTGGTAACCTTGAAGATTTTACAGTTCATCCTATTAATGCAATTCACATTGTACAACAACATTGACAGAATTAGCTTCTGATGAAGTACAGCTAAAATAAATGTTCAGCTGATGCCAGCTAGATAAACTTACTGCTTACTTTTGTGGAAGAAATGCAATATGTTCTATACAGTATGTTTGGCATGGACTGTGTTGGCAATAGCAAACAGTACTGAGAATGCTTTGATAATGATTAATGCTGAAATGAAACAAATCAGAGATGTTATATTAGAATAGAACAGATTACTGTTAGACATGTTAACTGCTGAGAAAGGAGGAGTGTGTAAAATGTAGGGATATATCATGTTCTTTTTACATTCCAGTCTATAGTGACAACATAACCAATATTATTGAGAACTTGATAATGGCTGTAAAAGAACCACTCAGAAGTGATAACTAATTGGTTTGAATGGTTCACCAACCACTGGGGAGGGTGGGAATATTGGATATGAGATACGGTGCTGATAGTGATAGGAGGTTTTTTCTTATGGGGATAGATTTAGCAAGCAAGTAAAGATTTTTATCTGAAGCCGGGCTAAATGAATAAACACTGTTATTGCACTTCTGACATAAAATCAGACCCTCAGTCACCTCAGTATAAACAAGAAAATAGTATAGATGTTCAGAATAGAAAAACACATCTTAACTCAGTTAATACATTTCACTGTAACTCCCGCTGGTCAAATTGCATTGGTTTTGGACATACATCATTAAATTGATCCTCATAATTACGGTAGATATTTGAAGCATTTGGTATGAGATTGTTTTTCACAATTATCTCCACTAAAGCTGGAAAAACATAGTATTACACATGGCAGGGACATCAACACCAAACAGCCTAAGCTTTCTTCTTTTAAAATCTTAAAGAGAGTGATCATAGGAAAATAAGAGATGAAGAGTATAAATGTGATGTAATGACTTAAATTTGCTGTATTATTATTTTAGTTATCGATGAATGATAAAAAGAGGGGAATTGTGGAAGAAATGTAATATGTTCTATACGTTTGCATTTTCTTATATTCATAGAATCTCAGAAACATTATGGTAATTAGATTAAGATAATAAAAAGAACTGTTATTAACCCTTATGAATGTATGTATGACCTTTGTATACGTGGCTGGACAATAAGAAATGTGTGACTAATGTATGACCGAGACAGAGTGCCTCCTCTCGTGGGTAGCATATAATAAACAAGTCTAACAATGTGTTAGTTATGGCTGAGACATCTTCATTTAGCCTAGAGAAATAACCTTGGGGGAGTCAGGACTATAAAGAAGGAAGGATGCCGTCCTCTCGCTGTCACACTCTGTGTGACTGTACGGCTGCTGGCCTTTTCTTGCAAGAAAATAAACCTCATCAAAGACAATTGGAAATGTTTGTCTCTTGTTCAGTGATACAGAATTTTGTTTTCCACCACACTTTGCTGACGCTGCCTCCTACTTGAGTGTTGTCTTTGTGTGATGCAGGGAAATCCTCCACGGCGGCCGCCGCTGCCTCACTCCAGTACATGTGTGAGAGAGTGAAGGGATGTGGAGGTGCCATTGTTCTGTCCTCCACCGGGGACTGGGCCGCCAGCTTCACCACACCACGCATGGCTTGGGCCTCCATGAAAGAGGACGTCCTGCACTATGGGTTGAATCCGAAAGAAGAGTTTACGGAGATGCCGAAATAATAACGTGTTTTCCTTTTTTGGGTATTTTAATTGAATTGACATTCAGCTAGTTCATTCATTTGTCTTGTTAGTTTTGATCAGTTAGTCCGGTTTAATTTCCTAAAAGTGATTTTACCTCAGTAGTAATGAGCTCTTTTTCACATTGATTTAAAAAAAAGTTATCTTTGACTATTGACGTATGAAAACATTTTAGTACCATTTAGCTCTTACTCAGGGTTAGTTCGCCCAAAAATGAAAATTCTGTCATCCTTTACTCCCCCTCAAGTTCCAAGCCTGTATAAATGTCTTTGTTCTGCTGAACAAAAAAGAAGATATTTGGGAGAATGTTTGTAACCAAGCAGATCTCTGGCCCCATTGACTACCATAGTATCTGCCCGAGATCTGTTTGGTCACCAACATTCTTCAAAATATCTTTGTGTACTGCAGACAACAAGATATTTATACAAGTTTGGAACAACTTGAGGGGGAGTAAAGGTTGACAGAAGTTTCATTTTTGGGTGAACTATCCCTTTAATAACATTTATACAAATTGTCACCTACTGTTATAACAGTATCCGTATGAACAAACAATAGAAATATTATATAGTGTTGAAACATGAAACATGTATAGTGTAAGTGACTACATGTAGAAATTATCTAAGTGTTCTGATAAGCTTAACCCACAATTAATTAATAATGATACGAGTTATCATTATTCATTACAAATTAGCGCATAGACATCAGATATATCGTGAAAAATATAACAGACAAATGTATAACAGCCAGTGTTAGGGAAAGGTACTTTTAAAGGTAATGTGTTATAATATTGGATTACTCTCCCTTGAAAAGTAAATAATTGCATTTACTATTTTATGGAAAGTAATGCATTTTCTTTTGGCAAATGTAAAGGCCATTTCCCTCCAAAAGTGAAATAAATAAGCCTCAGGCTGAAGGAAACGCACGCCTGAACAGTAGAGGGCGCAACTCAAACTAACCTTTCAGCTGTGCTCCTATATTCTGGATCTCACACTGTTATTTCAGCAGTGAAAAATAATACAAATAAAACACAAATGTGTTCGAGTAAAAGTAATTTTTCTTATTGGTATGATTGAAATGGATCATCAAATGCCAGCAGCAAAGACATCGGTTAATAAAGTAAGAATAAATACATGTAGGCTATTTGTTTTATTTGACATAATTAATTATTACAGATTTTCTAAATATTCTGAGTTTGCATTTCACTATTTTTATTCATTTTAAGGAATACTGAATCTGTTTTTGTGCAAGTGAGATGAGTAAATGCATGCTCAACATTATTGTAGTCTACAATAAGCACCATGTTTACAAAGCGCACATAAGTAATCTGATTACATAACTCGTGTTACTTGTAATGCATACCCACAACATAGCTGTATTTGGTTCATTTAATGTTGATTGTACTGTTTTTACTTTATTAAAGATGAATATTAGCTACCCCTTCGTGTCTTCAGTCGCTTCATTTCAGATTTTGTATGTGAAGGGTAATTGGTGGATCTTGAAGATAAAACAAATAGACCAATTTATGTATATTTTAAAAAGTTCACAATACTCCCACTTTTGTGAATAATATGCTTGAATTTTTGTTTGCTTCTCTTTTGTTTGTGAATAAAGTAGCGGGTGATATTATGAAATGGAAATGAGGCGGAAGCTGTTAAATTACTCCAGCCATGGGAATTGATGCATGAGTAATAAAATTTGAAAAGTTTTTGCAACTGCTCCTAGTTAGTGTCTCCTAGTTATCCTCCTCTCCTTTATATATTTATTTATTTTTACATTTTGTTTCAAATTAAGGTCTGGCTGCCTAGGCCTACTGTTTACAGTATAAAGACAAAAAGATGCTATCCACCTTATTTTTCAACACGGAAGTACTTTTTTTTTACTGTGAATGTGAGAGACTTATTAGTCGCTATGGGAACGAGAAGAATATATCAAAGTGCAGTCAACTGTAACTGTTTGCACTACCAGCGAGTTTATTAAGGCAATAGGCTACATTCAAATAATATGGTAAGAAATACCAGTTCGCAATATCAAGCAGCATAAATAGCTGTTTTGTACAGCTAAAAAGAAGCAAATGAAACCGGAAGCCAGACATTAAAATTAAATGGTTGTGCCCGCTCTTACCTGAAAAATAAGGTGAATGAGTAGAAATTTGCACACTTTTAACATATTATTTTAAACACCATTCATTTTAAACATCATCAAAAGCTTCCAAGATTGATGTATCCTCAAATATAAATTAGCCTAGTGTAGTGGCCTACTTCTGCATTATAAAACAGTTAAAAAAAAAACATTGTAACAAAGCAAAGGTATGGAGGAATCTCAGGGACAGAGTTCTCTGCCTCTCCAAAAAAGCAAAAGTTTCTCTCCTCTTTTTAACGTAGAGGGAGCTGATTATTCCTATAGTGATTCCCGAACCCCCCGCTGAGTGCAGCACCTCTACAGCAATTAACATTTTGACATGTTTGATCAATCATTCAGACTACAAAAGAAAAAAAGAAATAATGAAGTAAAGATTATTAGCCTGGATGCATTCTCTGTATTTGATCAGCGCAGTGCTGTTAGATCAAAGCATCGCACAAAGTGTGGAGAGATAGCACCATAACACAAAAGCGTGCTTCCTCAACTGAAAAAAGATAAACATTATGCAGAGAGCAACCCCTCTGAGGTTTAAATGAACATTTCTGACTCCAGCAGAGCTGAAGTAGGTCAGTATTTGGGATTCCTTGTTAAAACTTGACAAGTGAACATTTTTCCAAGTTGCTGAGATGTAGCTTAGGCCAGCCCATATGCGGATTAACAGTTCACACACAACAGTTTATAGATTAACATGACGGTACAGGCTAGTCGATGAGATGAATAAACGTAACTCCACAACAACTAAGGGCCAATTCCAATTCTACCCCTTACCCCTTCACTTTCCCCTTCCCCTCCGTTTTGCACGTGCACTTGAAGGGGTAGGGCTGTCCCAATTCTCTTTTGGTTGGAGGGGGAGGGCTAGGGGGAAGGGCCACATAGCCCTTCAAACGAAGGGGTATGAGAAGTGTCACTGCATACACCGGCTACAGACCCAAAATGGCTGCCCAAGCGAAAAAGGAGACTCATAAATGTATTTTTGGCTTTAATAAGTATTTTAACGACAAATAATGATTTGCTTTATGTTATTCAATATTTACATAAATGTATCCACTATCCCAGAGCCGTTAAATATAATAGTTTTTCAACGGCTCTGCACTAACCATTCAGAAACGTCCTTAGAGTCTAACAGTTGCAGCCTCTTCCTGAGTCTCTCCATCTGTGTCTGACTCTGGTTCAAACCGGTTCAAACCATAGACTGTAAAAAATAGGTTCAAACATGTAAGGCCGCACTACGCACTGGGTAAGTTTTTAAAAAATGGAAAAGCCCAAAGATCTGTATCTCTGCTAAATGAATTTAACTTATGTTTGTTTGTTTTTATTTAAATTAGTGTTGTGTTTCAAGTTACTATACTTACAAAATGTGAAAATGTGTCAAAGAAATGTGTCAAGAACTTGATATTGAATTCTGTAATTTTGAAAAATCATAACAAAAATGTTTTTTTTTTTAATAAAAAAAACTACGCTACTGGGTATTATTGACATTTTGCCTGGGAGAAATTAGTCTGTTAAATTGTTGCTGTATCCGAAGCATGTGTAAAGGGTCGGCCGTCTTCTGATTCTGAACAGGGAGGGGAGCATAGACATAATAAATACATTAGGTCTATGGAGAGGAGCACTGATTTTTGCTATCAAGAAACTTAGCAGATCTAGAGCAAGTTCTGTTCTCAGGGGAATCCGTTTGTTTTCCCCCAAAAAGGGGCGTTACCCTTCGATGACGCAAAAGTAGCGTTGGTCTATCAGTGGAGGGGAGCAGCGGCTCCTTTGCATTTAAAGGGAAACACACAAAAACGGAGCGTTTTCCCTCACACCCAAAAAGGGGCAACTTTGACAAGCTATAATCAAAAATCTGGGTGGTATTTTGAGCTGAAACTTCACAGAAACATTCTGGGGACACCAGAGATTTATATTACATCATGTGAAAATGGGTATAATAGGTACCTAATCGAGACTTGATTAAGCTTTATGTAAAAATAGATTTGGTCTTTTTTATTATAAACGATTTATTTACTTTATCACTCATTTACTTTATATATATATATATATATAATGCTGAATATGCATAGGGAATAAAACACCACTCAAATAATCTTGTCTTTTCAACAAGTGTGTTAAATGTAGAATTGCAAAAAAGAAGAAGAGAAAAGTCGCCTAATAGGCTATGACTGTTAGTTCAGTAGCTAACAGTTCACTAGTTTAACATACAGGTTTATACAGGTTGCCTGTTTCGACAGAATCATTCGTTAACAAACAATAGAAAAACACAATGGAGTTAAATTACTAAATTAAACAAACAAAATTGACCTCCCGTGGTTTGGGAAAATTAGTTGCTAGTGTTTCAGTGTCACATAATCAGCGTCCTACTGAGTGTTTTTCCCCCACCTCATCTCAATTTACTTTTCCAAGTAGATCTATAATTGCAAACATTACACTGGAGATGTGCTTTTCTTTTACAGTAGGATATAGCACTTCACTCGTGTTTATGGTTTATTTGGATCGACTTGCAGCTTATTGTGTTATTGGTAGCCTAATGCATTATTGTTTTTTGATGGTGTTGTTGTGTTTCTATTAGATTGTAATTTGTGTGATTTTCATTTGAATGTTTTCGCTGGCCTATATGACAGGTAGTCCGATGAGGTTGTTTTTGCACTGCTGTGCAATTTAACTAAGGATAAAAGATTTCCCCTTACCTGTGCTGCCTCTTGATGGTAATACGTGGTATTGCAATAAATGTATAAAATTAGGTAGCGAGTGGAGAAATGTAGTCTGTGGGCTTTGCATATTTATTCATTTTTAGAAATCTACATTAATTGAAAACCTGGCATTCAAAACCATTTAAGTTTTATACTTATTATCATTAT